CCAAAAGTGGTTTGCATTTCAATCCTACACAACATATTTTTTTTCTGGAATTTTTTGAGTTTTTTTTGTTTTTTTTTTTTGGGCGCTGGGGCTGCCCGGAACTACCCGGGCAGAAGTTGGGTGCCCGGGCGCCCGGGAAAACAGCCCAGGTTCCAACCCCTTTTTTTCAGAGATCCTCCGTGAATTCTCGGCTTGGTGAATCCTCGAGACAACACCACACGTCTTTGTAAGTTACAAACGGGAGTCAGGTGAGTTTGGCGACGAGTCGCTGAACCACGAGACTCTCGCGATTCATTCAATGATTCACTTCACAGCAAAATATATAGGCTGTTAGCATTGCAACCACTTGAAAAACAACTGCAATAGACTCCCAAGAAAGAACAGAAGGGGAGGGAAGGGGAGGGGAAGAGCCATGGCACAAACAGCATACAGTCCTTTTTTTTAATAGCCCTCTGCTACCACTGTCAACCCTTTTTGTTTTTGATTGATCCACCGTGAATTCTCGGCTTGGCAAATCCTCGACGAAACCTCAGAGTCCATACAGTCCGTTCATTTGATGATTCACTTCACAGCAAAAAGCGTAGGCTCTAGCACTGCAACCACTTCAAACACAACTTTAATTTACTCCCAAGCTAGAAGGGGAGGAGAGGGGAGGGGAGGAGCCGCGGGGCAAAAACACATTCTGGACACCTGAAAATTCCAGACTTCTTTTTTTTTTTTTTTTTTTTTTTTTTTTTAAACAGAACCTCCTGGTTCTGGCTCCTGCCATTCTGGGGAGCAACAGTCCAGTTCCTATTCCCCCGGCAAGTCAAATTGGGATACATAAGCGACTCACACACGCTCCTCCCCATTATGGCTGGGAGGCCCGAGTGGACGGCATGATTACTTCCCTGAGGTAGGATGTACCACCCCTCACCCCTGCCTAAGTTAGCCTGTGCTACATATATTGCTTGGCTGTTTTCAAAAATTTTGGCCCCTGTCCTGCTCCTCTCAGCTGTGGTGCTGTCGATTTGATGTGTTGTACTAGAGTGGTGTGATGTTTAGGAGGTTTCCCTAAACCCTCGGTTGAGTTGTTGTTTTACTAGCCGTCAGCTATGTCCGTTGAAGTCAGAACTGCTGGTAGGGCCCTGTGGTGTAGACTTATGTTGGACCCCGATCCCCGTTTGACTTGTCAAAAGAGAGCTCCATGCCCTCGCTGGTTTGAATGGGGGATTGCAGATCTTGACTTCTTCTGGTTCTGTTACCTTGCTGTTTAAAAGACTCTCCTTTTTGGCTGTCGGTCGTTCTTATCTCTAATACCTTAAAGCAAAAGGTGGGTCTAGCGTGATGGGCCCACACGAGACACCGCAGCTGGTGGGAGGGTCCCGGATGTGAGAGACCCGCCCACGCGAGAGTGCCGGATGGGTTTCGCGGCGCGGTGTGCGCCGGGTCCTGTCTTTACCCGAGCGGCACACCGGTTTGGACGAGCCGGTTGGCGGGCGGTCTGGGGCGCATGGGGATGGGGGGCGCACGGGAACGCAGGGCAAGGGCGGGTGCATGCGAGCTGGGCGGGTCCGTGAAAAATAGCGCGGGGCGGGGGGCGCCCGTTGGCCGGTTCCTCATTGCCAAGCGGCGGAGCGGCGGGTGGCCGTATTTGCGCCGGCGGGGTCCTCTTTACCAGGTGTGGCTGGGCGGAGCGAGGTGTCGATCGGGG